TACACATATACTTTTTATTGTCATAATATTTATTTTTTAAAAAAGTTTTAATTGTTTTTAAATTACCATTACACTTTTAAATTTTTTTTTTTTTTTCAATTAGTTTTATATTTTATTACTATTCTTTATATTTGTTAATCTTATTTTTAAATTTCACTTAACCGATTAAAGTGTAACTACACCTTTTCAAGATGTAAATGAGAACATGAAAGTTGTAATTAAGAAGTCGCCCAGCCGGCACAATGACGTTGAAATAACGTTGAAACAACGTCGCAAACCGACCATATGCCACGTTGAAACAACGTTGAAATTTGGTTGAATTGGAAATAAAATCCGACTTCGAAAACTACGACGTTGAAACAACGTCGATGATTACGTCGTTTCAACGTTGATCTAACGTCTTATCGACTACATATCAACCATATTTCAACTTTGAATAGGTGATATATTCGATTGATACGTAGTTGATAAGACGTTAAAACAACGTTGAAACAACGTAAATTCAACGTTGATTTTTGTTTTTTATTTTGGTTAAATCCAATTAACTAAAAAATTTTCTCAACTTTAATTGCATTAAATTAATACAATAAAAAAGCAATAATTTGCGCAGAGGATATTATATTTCACGTAAATTAATCAGATACAACTAAATTGCTTCAACGGACTTTATATACAATGCAAATAAAATAAAATGTTTGAAAAAAAAAAAGTTTTATTTATCAGTATTATATTTATCAATTTATCAATAATAACTATTATCAATAGTTCCAGAACAACTAGGAAAAAGTATGAATGTTATACATCGGGTTAATCGCCTTTTACGCGCCGACCACCACCATTTGATCTGTCGAGTGCGTATTTTAATAAATTCATTATTCCTTTTCTTATTTCGGCAACTGTAGCAGTCACTTTAATTGACAAAACTCTCTCTATAAAAAAGGTATTGCCTGAGTAATTTTCATCAAATACATCAAAAAGTTAAAAATAAAATAGCATTAAAAAAACGAACTGTGATTTTTAAAAATATATAATTTTACACTTAACTTACAAGTAAATACCTAATGTTTGTTCCTTTAAATTTCTCTTTACCTTTACCGTCAGCCATTTTAAATTTTGATTATAAACCATTGGTCAACAACCTACATTATACATTGTTATTAATACCATAGTAACAAAAATTGATATACATGTCTTTTACAAAATACAAATTATTCTTAATGAAAAATAGGACAAAGGTTTCTTACCAAAGGTTTCTCACCCAACGCAAAAGGTTTCTTACCAAACCGTAATGCAAGTAAGAAAAAGAATTCATACAGGGGAAGAGTTTGATCCAAGGAGACCACCTTCTAAACGCAAGAAAACACCAAGAGCGGACAGTATAATCAGAAATATCTGCCTGGAAAAGAGAAAAAAAGCCACTAAGCTTATCCATGAAGCTGTAATTGTTGTGTCAGACCAGACCATTTGTAGAAGGCTAAAAGAAGAGGGATTGATGTCCAGCCGAAAATGTCAAAAATTGACAAAAAAATATAAAAATAATGTCAAAAATCTTATATTTATGCAAGATGGTGCAACTTGCCACACAATAAAAACTGTTATGGCTTAGTTGATGTATTGCTATAGCCAGACAACTCGCATGATCTTAACCCCATAGAAGATATTTGGGAAATAGTAAAGCAAGAGATTGGAAAAAAAAAATCTTACTAATAAGCAAGATCTTATGGAAGAGATTATCAAGATCTAGCATAATAACCCAGAGTTGACAGAAACTATAAAAAATAAATTGCAAGCATGCCACAATGCAATGAAGCAGTTATTGCAAATAAAAGTGTTTTTGCAAAATATTTATACTCTATATATACAGTTGTGTGACAATTTATTATGGCCACCTATGAGTTTTGATCATTTTGAAATTTAATCTCATTTTTTTTATATGAAGAGTAAAAATTCATTATTGAAAGTTAATCTTCTGTTTAAAATAAAGTTTTAACTTATAAAATCAATGCTTTTTTTTTGCTACTGGCAACACTGTCACTTTTGACAGCCATTTTGTATGATGTCATCTTAATTATAATCTTTTTGCTGTACACTTGTTAAGTTTTATTACCAGAGTTTTGAATTCTTTTATTAGGTTATCGTCATATTACTCATTTAAATCAGTAAAAATTTCTTGAATATTTCTTTTTATTTTAAATTAAAAATAGTTGTATTTAGTTTGATATTTTTAAAGTTATGAGTACCAAAGCAAATTCTTAACTGTTATGTGATACTGATATGTGATATCTTATTTTAGTTATGAGGGAAAAAAAAAACTTGTCACAAAAAATTAATGAAATTAGGGCACTTTTAATAAATACTGATCATTCTCAATGAAAAATAGCCAGAAAATATGGTATTTCGCGGGTATCTGTACAAAATATACACAAAAAAATGCTAATATGGAGAACTTGATGCCAAAGAGGGTTGGTAAATGTGGAAAGAAGAGAATCCTAACACCATGCAGGAAATGAATACTTACCAAGATTGTTCTAGAAAATAGACGGGCCACCAACAACAAAATAACTAATAAGCTGGGCCAATCTGGAGTCAAAATGTTGAAGAGAACCGTCCAACATTGCCTACACAATCTTGGTTACATTTCATGACGTCCAGCTAAGAAGCCTAAACTGACACCAAAAATTGTACAAAAAATGCTTGAGTGGACAAAAAAATATAGGAATTTAACATATGATTGGTAATTAATAAAATTAATTTAGATGAATTTAAAATATCCACTTTCTTACACCAAACTTTAAATATTCATTCAATATTCACTTAACAATATAATATTTGAAGGTATGCTTTAGCGACGAGAGTACTTTTAAGTTTTAAAAAGAAAAAAAGGGAAAAAATACTTATTGGACTGCATCATGCAAACTGTTAAACACCCCACCTCTGTGATGATCTGATCAATGAAATGTGTAAAAGAAATAGGAAGGTTCTATATTACAGAATGAAAAATGTTACAGTTACAATATAAAAATGCTGGGACAAAGATTGTTGTCACAATTGGCAGAATAGTTTAGTCCAGGTGAAAAAAAAGCCTTCATGCAGGACAGGGCATGACCATGTCGCACAGCTAAATCAGTTAAAAAATATCTATCAGAACAAAATATTCCATTACTTGATTGGCCAGGAAACTCTTCTGACCTAAATCCTATAGAAAATGTTTGGGCGCTCCTAAAGAAGCAAACATCTGAAAAAATTATTACAAATAAAGTGTATTTAATAGAAAGAATTATTCAACATTGGAACTATAATAAAGAATTGAAGGAAATGGCTCAAAAATGCATTAAAAGTATGCCAAAAAGGGTTCCTGCAATTATAGAGGCAAAGGAGGAATCACCAAATATTGATCTTGAATATATTTGCAGAAATATTTGAATAATAAAATTTATTTAATTTGAATAATAAAATTTATTTAATAATATTTTAATAATAAAATAATAAACAATACGTTAAATGTTTTTATTTGTCAAAAAAATACCCATTTCTTAAATGAAAGTTACTTTGAGTACATAAATCACAAAAAAATACTAAAATAATAGACTTTGAAACTTGATAACTTTGAAAAATTGTGGGTGGCCATAATAAATTGTCACACGACTGTATTTTATATAATTTATCATAATAATCAATAAATATTCAAAATGTTCATCTTTATTTATTTGTTTTTATCAAGTACAACTTTATAAACAAAAGAAAAAACTTTAAATTGCACTATCAATATTATATATATATATATATATATATATATATATATATATATATATATATATATATATATATATATGTATATATATATATACATATATATATATATATATATATATATATATATATATATATATATATATACATACATATATATATATATATATATATATATATATATATATATATATATATATATATATATATATATATATATATATATATATATATATATATATATATATATATATATATATATATATATATATATACATATAAGCACATGTATGTATATATACATACATATATATGTATGTTTATTTATGTACATATTTATGTATGTATATATAGAGTAAAAAAAAAGGTTAAGTATGCGTTACAAATCAACCTTTGCACTTTAAGGTTGTTCTTTAGCTCAAGGAAATACAAAAGTAAGAGAAAACAGTTACAAAAAAAATTATAATCAGACATAAAAAAAAAAGATTCATTTTATGTCTGATTAGAATTCGTCAAACTTTTAAAAATATATGCTACACAGATTTTTAACACAAGTTTAAAACAAACTATAAAAAAGATTCAAAAGATTTTTTATTTAAAACTACTTTTAACAAACCTTTGCATCACATGCATTTGTATTTGTCTTAATGGTTTTACCTCCAATTTTAGAAAGTTTGTTAACCTAAAGGTTTAAGAAAATAATTACACCACATTATTTTTATAGTACATTTATAAAAAGTTACAAGTAGATTAACTTAGGCTAAGTTATTAATAAATACTTAATCAAAAAACAATAAAAAAAACTGCAAAAAGTCATGGTTTGAAACAACCTATCAGTTCTGACCTCACCCAAGAATCATTTAAACTGTTATCCATAAGAATTTCAGAACTGTTTGTCATGATATTACTTTAATTACTGGAAAGAGTTTTTACTAACATCTCTTTCTAACAATAAAGATATATCAGAAAGACAAAAGAACCAAACATTAATTAATTTCTAAAAGTGTTGAAACACAAGAACAAAAAATTTATAAAATAAAACATTATTCATAAATTAAATAAAATGTATTAATTTAGCAACCAAAGAAATGTGTAAATCACTGAAGCATAGAAAAAAATGTTCAGAATCTTTTCTTCCTAAATCAACTTGCAGACAGACAATTAATACCTTGAGCTACAGTATGTGGAGTATGCATAAAAAATGTTTTCTGTTTCTTTTTTTGCGTTACAGGAGTAGGTATTTGCTTACTATTCTGTTGGTTATTATGTTTTCTCTTGCATAAGCATGGTAGTGGCTCCTATAATAATTAATATCAAAATATAACTAATAATACTTGAATTAAGTATCTTTTGAAATAGTTACTGTTTTCTGAACCTGATTCTATCTGAGTATCACTTATAGAGGCAAATTCAAATTTATTACATAACTCATGATCTAAGAATATTCATTCAATTTAAAAATGTTTTAAATACATTATATAATAAAGAATATATAATAAAGAATATATCTAAACACTGAAAACAACATATACAGAATGAAAGCATGTTAAAAAAACAAGGAAAAAAAGTAATGACTTAAGGTTTATATTAAAAAAAAAATTACATTATCTCCATGACATTAAATTTTGAGCAGCGTAAATCTGTATTAGTTAGATGCGGTTTATGCATTTCATTGAAACAATTTAGTACATTTAAAGATGACGAGCAGCACAAAAAATTATCAATCGAATTTTCTCTCTTTATTTCTCTGTATTTTCTATCCAAACAGCTCGAATGAACATTTTGCATGCCCTACTATACTTTTTCAACTAGAAAAGTATAGTAGAAATTATAATAGAAAAAATACTTATATATTAAAAATTTGTTCATGTAAAATAGCTAACAGAAAAATACAACTATAAACTGTACGTTATGATACATTATACAGTTGCTAAAATTTGCTAAATTTTCATGTTGATCTTTCTACCAATATTATGGACTAAAGAAGCATTCACAAATTCTTTTTTATACAACTTTACAAGAAAAATCTTTAAAAATTTAATAAATATTTTTTAGTATAAAAAATATTTAAACTCTTTAAAATCACATGGATTGGTAAAAAAGCTTGATAAATCATTATTTTGTAAAACATCATCCGTTATATATATTTATATTATGTATGTATATATATACATATATAGTGTATGTATATTTTATATATGCATATTATATATATATGTATGTATATATATATATATATATATATCATATATACATATATATAATATGCATATATATATATATATATATATATATATATATATATATATATATATATATATATACATATATACATATATACATATATATAGTATGCATATATAATATATACATATACTATATATGTGTATACACATATATAATATAAGTATATATACTATATATATGTATATATATCTATATATATATATATATATATATATATATATATATATATATATATATATATATATATATATATATATATATATATATATAATATTATATATATATATATATATATATATATATATATATATATATATATATATATATATATATATATATATATATATATATATATATATATATATATATATATATATATATATATATATATATATATATATATATATATATATATATATAATAAGAAAAACATATATAATATATATTTTATATATATATATATATATATATATATATATATATATATATATATATATATATATGTATTATATAAATAAGAAAAACATATATAATATATATATATATATATATATTATATAAATAAGAAAAACATATATAATATATATTTTATAATTATATATTATATCAAGTAGTCTCTACTTGTAATCCACACTCATGAAATAATACGGTCATAAAGAAATATCCATTTAATATTTACCTAACTAACTGCATCACAAGTTAAGCCATGTATTATTGTTAAATTGTCAAATTCAAAACCTTATAAAAAGGAAACAGATGACCTAATTTATTAGCATGTGTGACTTTACTTGCTTTTATTGGGCTAATAAGTAACTTGTTAAGTCTTTACTTGTTATTTGTTATGTTGATAAAAAAATTTTAAGTCACGCATGCGTATTTTAGTTATCATATTGCAATTACGAACGATCGAACTCGTAATATAGACGTTGAATTAACGTGGAATCAACGTCGATTTTATTTGATAGTTTTAAACAAATTTTTCAACGTTGATACAACGTTGATTTTTGGTTATACGACGTCGCGACTAAAAATCAACTGTAAATCAACGTCGAAATAACGTCGTGTGCCCACTGGGTCGTAATATGTAATTAAGAAACACAACATGTAATTGAGAAAACGTTATATGTAATTGAGAAACACAACATGTAAATAAGAAGTCGTCACATGTAATTAAGAAACACAACATGTAATTGAGAAAACGTAAGATATAATTGAGAAATCATAATATGTAATTGAGAAATCGTAACTTGTAATTGAGAACACATAAATTAAAATAGCAAATTCACAGTCTAAGTTTGTAGATTGTTACAAAAGGTCTTTTTAGACATGAATTTAAGTTATAATCTTAAATTTTGCTTTTGTATGCACAAGTAATAATAATGGAATTGAAAGATCGTTGTGTTATATGCCAATACACTATGACCCGAAAGTCTGTGATTAAGCTAAATCCGTGTCAACATTTATGTCACCAAATTTGTTTACGTCCAGTTCTGGAACAACCAGATTCAAGTTGTCCGATTTGTCGACATGAAATACACACAACTGAACAAGTTGAAAGGAAACGTTACGTTTTATCTTCTCCAAATGACAGGAGAAAAGTTGTTGAATGTGCGGAGCGATTTGAAGATTGGGTGAATCTCGCACAAACGCTAGGTATCAAATATAAGACAGCATACAATTGGGTTCGCAGCGGAAATTCAAATTTCATCGGAAAAGGAGGTTTTAAACTGAAAAAGTTGACCGAAGATCAAATCGAAGAAACATTATCATGGATTGAAAATGATTGTCAATTAACATTGGTGGCCATCAAATATTAAGATATTAAGACAATTTAACATAAACGTTAGCACAACATCAATAGCAAATTACCTCGAAGGCAGATTGTTCTCATTAAAAAAAGTGCACAAGGAGCCTTCTATAATGAACAGTTATAAAAACAAACAAAAAAGAGCTAAATATGTTAGAAACATCAACGAACATGTCACAAATGGTCGTCAGATAGTTTGGTTGGATGAAACAAATTTTAACCTTTTTTGTAGAAAAATGCAAGGACGCGCGAGACAAGGAAAAATAGCAATTATGAAAGTACCTGCTTCAAAAGTTTTAAACATACACTTGATCGCAGCTATTTCAACTACAAATGTCGTCATGATAGAAACTCGCAGGGGATCATTTAAAGCAGATTCCTGTAACGAGTGGATCTTGGCTATGTTTCACCAGTGGGTTACATCCGGGAATCGTTTGGAGGATTTGGTCGTCGTAACAGATAATGCTCCTTGTCACGCTCGTTTGCAAAGGGTGTTTGATAATTCACCAGCTCGGTTGTTACGTTTGGGACCTTACAGTCCAATGTTGAACCCGGTGGAAACGATCTGGCCCAAAATTAAAAGTAACGTTAAAAATGCAATTCGCATTCCACCTGTATTAGGTGACGGGATTGCGGAACAGCGCATGCAGTACTTAGAACGAATTGTAATTGAGGCGAAAAATACTATAATGGGAGGAGATTGTGCACGTGCGGTACAACACACAACCACGCACTATGCAACTATTTTAAATATGGAAGACGTACAAGTTGGTGCTTAAATGATCAATGAAGTGATTTTTAATTATAATTTTTAATTGAATTATAAATATTTCCCTAAAATGTTTTTAGTGTTTATTATGTTAAATTCATTTGCCCAAAAATTATGAATTTTTCCCTAAAAAATTAAATTTACGCTACAAATCTTGCGTCATTTTTAAGTGCGTCATTTTATACGCTCCATTTTTTTTAAGCACCATTTTACACTTACTCCTTTAAAGCGATATCTAAATTAAAATTTTCGTGTTCTCAATTACATCTTTCTATTTCTTAATTACAACTTACATTTTCTCAATTACATGTTACGATTCTTAATTACAATTTTCGTTTTCTAAATTACATCTTATGTTTCTTAATTACAACTTACGTTTTCTCAATTACATCTTACGTTTCTTAATTACAACTTTTGTTTTCTCAATTACATCTTACGATTCTTAATTACAACTTTTGTTTTCTCAATTACATCTTACGATTCTTAATTACAATTTTTGTTTTCTCAATTACATCTTGAAAAGGTGTATACACCTAACCTACTAGTGATTATATTTGTGTTTTATTAAGAAAAAGAATAAAAAATAGTCTAATAAACTATGATTATGTTTGTTAGATTGATTCTATAATAATCTATTGATATACTAAAATTTCTTTTATAGCACTAAAAATGAAAGCACTGATAAAGTACTACATTTAAGTTATATTTATTTTTTAAGTAACATTAGTTTTTTTTAGTAACATTACATTTATTTTTTTAGTAACATGCTGTTTTCTTATAATAAAGATTAACTCAGTGATATAAGTATATATATATATATATATATATATATATATATATATATATATATATATATATATATATATATATATATATATATATATATATATATATATATATATATATATATATATATATATATATATATATATATATTATATATATATAAAAGTTGTGTTTTACATCTATTTCTTTACTTTTTGAAACTTAGGTTACAAAATAAAATATTCTGTCGTTATCATCAAGGTCAACTCGATTATCTTTAAATTAAAGTTTAAGAAAAACAACTGTTGTAAGATTCAGTAAAAAATAATGGAGAGGGTGGCTGTGACTGAACATCATTTAATAAACATTCTGAAAACTGTTCTGTAAAAACAATAGGTGAAGGTGGATTTAAAGTTAAACTGTTTTCATTACACTCCATGTTTCCTATGTCATCAAATGATTTTACGGGTACATTTTCATAATTGTTATTGTCAGCAAATTTTTTTATAGTTTTATTATTGATAAAATAAAAAGATTGATCAAAAAATTCATTGTTTATTTTTGGAGCCTGGTAAGGAGGCTGGTATTCTCCATTTGAAACAAGTTTCTGAAATCTTTCACTTGTGGTTAAAATACATGGCGAAAAGTCTTCATTTATACAATCTACTGATGAGTTTTGAAAATCTGTTGATTCTAATACTGAGTCATCTGAGTAGGTACATTGAATACGTACAGGAGAATCTAGAAAAAAAAAAGATAATAATATAATATATTAATAAAAAATAAATAAAAGAAAATAATAAAAATAAAAGAAAATAATAAAATATATTAATGATAAAAAATAATGATAAATGACCATTAAAGTTTGATGGATTTAGGAGTACAAAAAATAATTACTAGTTATAGCTTAACTACATCTTGTAACTCTTTTTTGTACTCCTTATATCAATATCCAACAACATTACACCTTTTTGAGTGCAGGCTGAGCACAGTACTTCCAAAGGCATAAAATCGTTTTAACTTTAAATGTGAGCCAAAAATGTAACATATAAAGCCTACAACTCAAAATACTTTTTCCATAGTTCAATGAAATATGTTTAATTTTATTATGTTTAAAAGTTCTTGTGATTGTCTTAAAAAAACCTAATAATTTAATCTGTTTTATGATTTATAACTAGAATTGATATTTCTGTCAAAATATTATTCTTTTTAAGGTTTTTTTAAAAAGTAGAAAAAGAGGTTTTTTCTTGTCGGCTATACATTTATGCTTCTAGGGCCAACCATTATGTATTATAAACAAAGTTGAATACAAGATAACAAGAGGAAATTTCATATGTTCAGTTGTAAAAATTTCTTTGATACACACACCTATAAAATATTAAAAACACTTCAAGGTTTGAAGGCGATACGTTCACTCAATAAAGTGATTGTAAAGGCATCTAAGCTCGTGTCTTTTGTCTGTAATTTAATCTTTATCTTGTATATTCTGCATTTCAAATGATTAATGCAATGCTCTGTAGGTCACTCCTTGAAGTCAATGCAGGTTACTCTTTAAAGTCAACACAAATTAGATAAATTTCAAGACCAAGACTAGTTAGTAAAACTGAAATCTCCCCACAGAGATAACTTTATTTATTGCTGTAACAGACCTCACACAAACTCAAAATATTGTCACAACATAAACTACTTGCAGTGATAATTTTGTTTAAAAATGAAAAATTATAAAATGTTTGTATATGGATATTTTAATTTGTAATCTATAACCTAAAATATATATACTTATATTTGAATTTGTAAGATAAGTGTATTTTGCTTCCTTGTTCTATTCTCTCTCTACCCCTTTCCAAAAAATGTAGGTCTTGCAGCACACCTCACAACTATATAATTGCTGGAGATAAGTATAAATTAGCCTAATATTTCACTGTAGATTGAATTGCTTAGATTTAAAACCAGAAGTTGTAAAATAATATTTGTATAATTATCTGTAGGCAACAAAAACAAAACATAAATAAAATGAATATATAATGCATAAATACATAAATGTACTAAAATTTTTAAACTTTTCAGAGTATGTTATAATCTATGAATATATTATATACTATGAACTTCTAATTTTCATAACTATCCTTAATCACTCACTCAATCAATAATGCCTACTGCATTATAGTGCATTACCAGTTTAAATTTAAACATAATTTATTAGAGTTTACACAGAATTTTCCACAGAATCCTATATTAAATCATGGATTTCTTTTCTGATAAATTTTAACTCAAAATTTGTATCTTTGTAGTTCTATAAACAAAGTTGAATATTGTAGTCTGTAGCTTTTTAACATTTTAATTAACAACATTAGCTATTATTTGTGATAAAGTAAAAATGGATAATCTTCTAAATATCTGCATTAAATTATCTAAACAATTTTGAAAAAAGGTTTTGGGTTTTTATTGTCACAACTTTGCGAATAATGGGAAAATTAATTAGTAATAAACAATTAGAAAAAAATAATATTTTTATTTATTAGTTGTTATTACAGAGTGGCCACATAAAATTTTTATAAAAAAGAGGATATTAGAGGATTTTAGAAGAGATTTAGCATTTAATTTTGAGGATTTTTTTGCAAAACTACAAAATTTTAAATAAAAATAGAGGATTTTAGAGTATTATTTTTATAAGTTTAAGATTCATATTTCCACACTTGTAGGGTTTAAATAGGGGTCAATAATGCCCTTTTTTATGTTAAATGACATGGATTTTCTAAAGCAATTTTTTAAAACCCAATGCCCTTTTAAGCGTTATTCAGTTTTGCAGCCCAGGAATGGGTATTTTTAACATTTTACTACATTCAAAAAAAAGTGGAGTTTAAGAGGAGACTTTATCCTATTTCCAACTTTTAAAAGGATAATAGAGAATTTTAGAGGAGATTTTTGAAAAAAGAGGATTTTAGAGGGCCATCCTGATTTATTAGCTTAGTTATTAATAGTTCTAACAATTAATAAGTATAAAGTAAAAAGTAGAAATAACTATATAACCTGATATATGAATAACTGATTCCTTGAGTGATGTGTTGCAAACATACTCACGGTTAATGTATTTTATACACGTTCCGGTTGTTGAGGAATCGATAGCGTTTGTATTTATGCAATCCAGAGTAGAATTTAGGCACATTTCTTTATTTTTTTTACTAGTTTTATGGATTGTCTTGAAAAAACTTAATATCTTAGTCTGTTTCATAAATTTATGATTTATAATTGGAATTGGTAATTCTGTCAAAACATTGCTCTTTTTAAGGTTTTTCTTAAAAGATCGAGGTTTTTTCTTGTCGGCTGCACAGAGCCAACCACTATGCATTATAAAAAGGTTTTAAATGTTTTTATAGATAAATTTCTAATTATGACATGCAATTTTTTGGATTTTTGTTTCACACTTTGCTCAGTTGCAAACGTTTTTGTAATGTTTAAGTTACGAAACTTCAAAGTATGGAGCACTTTTGAAAGTTTTGGTATATTGCAGTTACTGTTTCAGCTCAAATTATTTTTATTTTTGCGGACGTGAAGTGCTTGGCATTATTTTCGGTGAAAATTCTAAAGTGTTAAAATTTTACAATTAGTAGATTCAAAAAAAAAATTTAAGTTACAGTACAAATAAATAAGAATTAACTGTGCATAAGAAAAACAGATTTTATCACTCATTTATGAATTTAATAGTATAAACAACAGCATTACTCCGTGTTGAGGTAACAGCCTCGATCGCTTTTTCTCATAAATATTTCCATATTCAGAAAACAATCTCTCCGAAGATGTTGGTAATGTTAATAATTCAAGGGCTAGGTCTTTTAGCAAATCTGTTTAGATCTTTTATATTTAATCACATAATATTTGAGATAAATCAGTGTAGATAATATTTTTTTTATATTTGATGCAGGTAATCTGCGGTACTTGAACTAGACTGAGAAATGAAAGCCCACAGAGAAATATGAAACAAATCTATTGAAAAAGTGTACTGGTTCCATTATAAAATAGCATAATGATTATGCTATTTTATAATGGAACCCGTACATTAGTTAATGATCTTCTTGAAATATTGCCAAATCAAGGTTTGGAACTTCCCAAAGATTAAAGGAGAATTTTAAAAGAACCTTATGAAAAGCGACTTATAGACAGGTTCTTGCTAATTTATATATATTTTTTTAAACATTTAATTACTTGAGAATTGTATTAATATTGATACATATATTGAAATAAATAGTTAAAAACTGGGTATATGATATACTATATATATATATATATATATATATATATATATATATATATATATATATATATATATATATATATATATATATATATATATATATATATATATATATATATATATATATATATATATATATATATATATATATATATATATATATATATATATATATATATATATATATATATATGTATATATATATTAAGTATATAATTGACACTTGATATAGTATTTCAAGTATAATAATTGATATACTATATCAAGAACCAAGTTCTGACTGTTTGTAAGACTTAGACATCGCAGAATCTCATGCATAGTCATTTTTCAAAAGGAAAACCTATTAATAATACAGAGAGTTTATGCTGATAATTCAATATAATTCAATATCTTTAATTAACAACTTTTAGATTGTTCTATTCGAAATAATTGGACCAGTACATTAGTTAATGAACTTTTTGAAATATTACAATATCAAGTTTAGGAACTTTGCTAATAACCAATTACTTAACTTTAATAATTAGTTATTAGTGAAGTTCAAAAGTTTTGACTAAAAAATAAGTCTAATTGGAAAAATTAAACCAGCCATACCAGTTATATAAGAGACAGGAGGGTAGAAAATTTCCTTTACTCTAAAGGAAGTTTTCTACCCACCTGTCTCTTATATAACTGTATTAACATATGAACAACCACTATATCACGTGTTGGAATGTTATTGGCAATTTACTAAGTAACCGATGAGAAACACTCCTTAATTTCTCCTTTTTTTTTATCATCTAGGAAATTTTATTAAAGTAAATGGATTATACTTTTTATTATTGCTATTATATATTGCTATTATATATACTTAAAATATGTTTATATAAAGTTATAATAGCATATTGTTTTTTAATTAACTAATATATAGTCTTTCATTCATTTACTTGCTTATCTTAAGAATAATGAAATATAAAAAAGGTTTAAAGTTGACAATAGTTTTGATCTTTACTAGTGTGATTCTCGGGCCAAGTTTCTGGAAGGTGATCAATCATTTCTCGATACAAATGTTGCAAAAAGTAGTATAATTTTTATTATGGTTGAATGTTTAGTTTTCTTTTTAAGGATAAATTACTATTATAAATTACATAAAAAATTTTGATCTGTAATTATATACATAATGCTCACTTTACAAATAAACATAATTTACACAAAATTTTTGAGTTGATTAAAACACTAATGTATTGCTTCTATGCCCAATATAACTTACACTAAATTGTCCCATATCAATTACACTAGTGTTATCTTTTGAATTTAGAAATAGAAGTTATTAAATGTTGGTGGCTCATCATGCAGTGCATTTGAGAAAGGCATGCTTTCAAAGTAAGTATAATTTTACTAAAAAAAGAGCATTTTTAATACCGCAATTTTATTACATACTTGATATACATAAATATATAAGCTGGTCACAATAATCCAGTCAAAAATTTCTTTAAAAAAATCAATTTAGTGTTGAGAAATTTGTATTTTTTGATGTTTATAAAATAATAATTATATATATGTGTGCGTGCGTGTGTGTGTGTTGTTTATTTCCCCTTGATTTTTACATACTTATTTTTACAGTATTTTTTTAGGGTTAAGACTGCTTTCCTGATTCCTACAACAACAAAAAAACTTTAAAATGCTGATGGCAATATTTTAAAGAGTGCATCTGATCAAAAAGAAGGTGAATGACGTCAACTGTTCGAACATTCGATTCTTGGAAATTAACAAGTGGAAAAAGAAGTTTACAAAATTATAATTTATAAAACTCAGCACAATTATATTATTAAAAAATTTAAACGATTTATTATTTTTTGCTTATTCTCAAGAAGTTCTGTGCAAAAATAAATTTGAACCTTACGTTTAAGTAAAGCCATGTAAAAACACGTATTTTAGACGTCGAAATGAGAACGTCTAAATTTGGTTATTTAAAGACGTCATTTGGCGTTTCCATTTAGCACTAGTTCTGAACGTCCCAAATTCACGTATTTTAGACGTCTAAAAACACGTCTTCATTCCGTCCTAAAAAGACGTCCTATTTTCGTCTTAAAAAAACGTCATCTGGCGTTGCCATTTAGAACCAGTTCCGGACGTCCTAAAAAGACGTCCCTTCGACGTCATATGGACGTTGCCGTGCCCGCTGGGCTAGTGAAACATGAACTTTTTTAACGATGATAGATGGAAAAGTGGCTCAGGTATTAACGGATACGCCTTCTTGTAAACGCCTACATGTACAATACATGGAACTACGACAAATGAACGATTTGACTAAAGTATCTTAAAATGAAGTTTGTAACAATACGGACTGTGCACATTACATGCCTAGATTCGGTGTATGGAAATGATATTACATATTTTTTACAACCTGTCTTTTCAAACATGGTCAGCTAAAAGTGAAGGAAAAAAATGAAAAAAGAAAAAAATAAGACCTTGGTACAGAAACATTTTCGTGAGCAGCTAGGGTTAATTGTCGACAAACCGAAACAAATTAGTGCTAATAACAATGATGGTAATACTACTAGGAGATTTTTTTACAATGCAAGCTGTTCTTCTGAAATCACTGGAGTAAATAAACTCAGTTTTTTCAAAAATATTAGAAAAAATAATGTTTAGTTGAGTCTAATCTTTTTGAAAATAAAATACTGCATGAAAATCAATTTTGCTTTAAAAAAAATAATTCAACCGAACATGCCGTTCTTCAACTTACGCGCAACATTTCAAACTCATTCAAAGACTCTCGTTTTACATTAGGGGTTTTTATTGACCTGTCCAAAGCGTTTGATACCATGAATTACCAAATCCTATTAAAAACTTATGTATTATGGTATTAAAGGTAAAAATCTGCTTTGGTTCAAAAGTTACCTTACAAACCGTATACAGTTTGTTTTCAACAAAGGTTCCACATCTCGTGCATTTATAAATATATCATGTGGAGTTCCGCAAGGATCCATACTAGGTCTACTCTTTTTTTTATTATACATAAACGATCTTCATAAAGATGATACAAATTTATTTTTGTCTCATGAAAATATTAATATACTATTTACTGATATAATAAATGAATTAAAAAAAAAGTTTCTGTTTGGTTTAAACAAAATAGATTGTCCCTCAATATTGAAAATACGAAATGGACACTCTTTTATCCGCCTTCTAAAAAACAGAAACTTCCACATATCGTACCAGATCTTTTAATCGATAATATTACTTTAAAAAAGGAAAAGGTTACAAAGTTTCTTGGAACATACATTGATGAAAATTTGACCTGGAGGTCATATCGATACTACCACAAAAACTGAAAAATACATTGGAATTCTTTATAAAGCAAGAAATATATTAAGTAAACATCAGTTAACACAATTGTATTATTCATTGTCATATAAACTATGCAAATAGTATATGGGGAAGCACTCATAAGACAAAGCTTAAATCTCTTTACCTTTGTCAGAAACACGCAGTTCGCGTAATATTTTTTAAAAATCGGTTTTCTCACACAAAACAACTTTTTAAAGAAATAAATATTTTGAATGTGTACCAACTAAATGCTTTTATTTCAAAATGTTTATAATTTGAAACCGAAAGTCAAATATAATTTTCGCACTAATAACAATCTTATTGCCCTCTTTTGCCAGCAAAAAATGACCAGTTTTTTGTTTCTTAGTTTTTGATCTTATCTCTGGAACAAAATAGTTTTACTAAATTTTGATTTTTCTATTAAAATGACTTATGCTTCATTTAAACAGAAACTTAAAAAGGTTACTATCTCATCTATTTTTAACTATTTTGTATATTGTTTTGTTTTAGACTAACAACTACATTTTAATTATAAAAAACTTAACTAATTGAATAAAGTTTTTTATAAAATGATGCATTATTATTTCATTACGAACAGTTTATTTTTAATTAAAATTATATTGAAAATGTGTAAATGTATTATATTTTTTAAGTGCTTCATGATAAGATCCTCACAATCTTCTAGAAGTCCTGCCAAATGTAAATGTAAATATATATTCTCCTATGGTTATTACGGCAAAATAAATCTAAAAAAAAAAAAAAAAAAAAATTGATTAAGCGACTTTACAAGCTCTCTCTTAGGTGTTATGCTAAATGCTGAAAGTTCTGGAACAAAAACTATGCTAAAAAAACTGCCCACATTTATGTGAATCTTCAGTACACAAAATTTTACTTCACGGAGAAAATATCATAAAACATTTTACAGTATTTATTGGTCAACTTTCAGAAGATGCACAAGAATCACGTATTAATGATTATAAAAAATTTCGCCTTCATCATGCC